CGGCGGCGGCGGGCCGGGGTCTGACGGGCGCTCTCCGCAGACCCCTTTGCTGATGCAAGTAAGGGTGATGACCTGCTCCCTGCCGGCACTGAGGACTACATCCATATAAGGATCCAGCAGCGGAACGGCAGGAAGATTTTTTTAGTCCAGGGCATCGCGGATGATTACGATAAAAAGAAACTGGTGAAGGCCTTCAAAAAGGTGGGGGCTGCCGGGGGGCCGGGGCTGCGCCGCACCGGGGAGTGGCGTTTGCGACTTACGTCGTGCTAAGGGGGCCTTCCTCTTCGTTGTAGAAATTCGCCTGCAATGGTACTGTAATTGAACACCCCGAATATGGAGAAGTGATTCAGTTGCAAGGTGACCAGCGCAAGAACATATGCCAGTTCCTCGTAGAGGTAGGATATCTTTGGTCTGCGGCGCGTGCTAGCTAAACTTTAAACAGGAGTCTCTTTAATAACCACACAGGTTCTAATTTTCTTAGCGTTAAAAGGGCAGGCTGACGGAGGAAGCTCTTCTGTTCTCCTTGAAATTCTTGCTTGAGGCGAATGCCATCCGGCAGGGTTTTGCAGTTGCAGTCTAATCTTCATTCCATACTTTAGGGGGGAGCAGGAATTTGACAGTTCTGCAGCGTCTGCAGCGTAGATGGTGTTCGGAGGTGCGCAGAGGCCTGATTGGTTCGGTGTGCTGTAAAGTGCATTTTCTTTCTTGCAGATTGGACTGGCTAAAGACGACCAGCTGAAAGTCCATGGGTTTTAAGTGCCTGTGGGTCACTGAAGCTTTATGCAAGAAGATTTCCTTACCATGAAATTCCCATCTGTCCCTTGTCATAAGTTTAAAACCAGCTGGTTTGTGTAATGTAACGATCTTGGGTCCACTGTTCAGTCTGGACTAGTGTAATTCAGTGATGTAATAAACTGACAAGAGCCCATGCTATCTCGTCTTGCTGTCCCTCATTTAACAGAGGTAAATCGGGCGTTTGGCATGGTCCAGCCTGAAGCTAAAAGTAACCAGATGTTCCAAGTTAAGCCAAGGGACTCGGCCTGTCAGTCCAGAGACTGCCCGGATCGCTCCTCAGTCCAGCTGCTCTTCCATTCCGATGGACGGTAATTCCCGCGGTGCCTCCCGCAGTCCTACACGGAGCGCGGCACCGAGCTGGGACATGGCACGGGGAGATAGCGCCTTCCCTCTAGGCAGTGTTGGCTCCTGGTGGCAGAGGGATTTGGGGAAGCTTGACGGTGAACAAGAGGAGTGACTGAAGAGTGACTTCAAGGCTGGATGTCTGCAGCTCAGGCCTGGCAGGCGCTGCGAGCCCCAAGATACCGGGCTGGCGTACTGGAAGGAACCGTTACCTTGGGTTAAACTTTTGACAAGGGATCAATTTTGGACTAATGTAATGAGTATCATTGTAGATAGAGCTGCAGAGCTTATGTGTCACTAGCAACTGCTGCCTAATGCCCTGTGAAGTAACAGATTTTTGGTTTCATTTTTAATGTTTTATGTAATGTATTTAAAGTCTTATTTAAATAAAAATGGTTTTCAAAAGCATTTGCTTGCTGGATTCAGTTGCTTTCTGGAGCCAAAGTGCTGTGCTTTCTGCGAGCAGCGGCACCGGCTCAGCGCTTCTGGTGCTGTCGGAGCAGGAGCCCGGTGGGCTTCCCTCTCACTGGGGTGGGAGCTTTTTTTTCACGGGGGTGGGGGCTGGGAGGGTCCGGGGGAGCGTTTCCCCGTGTGTCCCGCCGCAGGAGTGGGACGAGAAGCACCCTTGGTGCTGCGCCTTCTGGTCCCTGAGCGGAGTTGGAGTAAACAGCCTGCGCGTGGGTGGGTGTTGAGTCATTCCCTTCCTGGGCTGGAGTTCTTTAACCCTCGCACCGGGTCTCGTGCTTGTTGCGTTCCCGTCAGCACGGTCAGCGCTTCTGCTTCCGGCAGAGCCGAACTGCTGCGGGGGGGCCTGTCACTGTGTTGTCCAGGCTCTGCCGCAGGCCGGGTGTGGGCTGAGGGGCCTTTCTCCTCTCTGAGCTTCGGAGCCCCCAACAAGCAAGAGCGAAGTCACCATGGGTAAAACATGCCCTTCCAGAGCAGATCTGGTTTGGGGGGCTGGCAAGTGCCTTCTGCGGGAGGGCCATGTGAAATGCACTAATGCTGTAAGAAAGCGTGCAGAAAGTCTGTGAGTTTCCGTCCTCGTTGCCCCTGGCCCTGTCCCCCCTGCGGCAGGTGATGCTGTGGCTGCAGAAGTGAGCCTGCCCGCTGCGAGGGCCGGGGGGTTTTGGCGAGGCTCGCTTGCACCCTGCGCGGTGGCGGAAGCGCAGGGAGCTGCCTGGGCAGCTGCTGGGGCTTCTGGCAGCTTTCGAAGAACAGTGTCTTGTTTGTTCACTCGCTGCTTGCAACGATCCTGCTTTTCCACCCCTTTTCCACGTGCTGCGGTGGAACACCAGGTTCACTTCACTGCCATTTACTTTCCTGGGAGACTTTGCTCTCGGAAACCAAATTGCCGCAATTATGC